AGGGGTAATGTTGGGATAAGATTTGGAAGCCATTAAGAAAAAAATGCTCTTCTTGTTTTATCCTGTACATTTTGTGTTTAAATGCTTAAAAAGACATATTTAGGTGTAATTTTGGGGGGACGGGAACCAATTAATTGGTTTTCCATTATTTCTTATGGGAAAAATTAAATCAGAACTCGAACTTTTCAGGATTCGATCCGGAGCCTGGAACGGATTAAGTTCGAGAACTGAGGTACCACTGTATGTATAATATATAAGGCAGTATGTATACAGTAATATATAAGGGAGTATGTATAATATATAAGGGAGTATGTATACAGTAATATACAGTATAAGGGAGTATGTATAATATATAAGGGAGTATGTATACAGTAATATATAAGGGAGTATGTATACAGTAATATATAAGGGAGTATGCAGTAATATATAAGGGAGTATGTATAATATATAAGGGAGTATATTTAATCCAGTTGCGCTGACATTTATTGGTTACTTACAGTTCACAGGGCTCTCAGGTCTCACGCATTGATCATGAGACACACGCATTTCAACCAGTTCACACGCCACACCTTGTGTTTCTCACTCTGAGAAGTAACCAGCCTTAAGGAATGAACCCCCACCAAGGTGTCCCGTTATATAGGATTAATGGACGAGGTGCAAGCATACAGAGTGGAGTTTTCTGCCAAGTTCATAGCTGTTCCGAGTTATACAGAGTTAATAGCCACCTACCAGCCAATCAGAAAATAGCATTTGTTGTTTCCGGTTAAATTCCAAAATAAGTTACACGTACAAGCACATTATTACAGACAAGGAGGCATTGTGGTTGCGTGGTTCGACCAAACACCAGTAAAAATTAAATTTGGCAATATAATAACAATGTGTAAAATTGTACTTTATTGTAGTGCAGTCTGAATTATTGGAGTAGTCACATTTGCATTGTGTGAAATAATACTTATTTAATATAATAATGACTAATGAGAACTAATTACAACACTATTACGAAATACAATTTAAATATTATACGTAGGAAGTATCTATTAACCCTTCATGTTCACAGAAGCCCCAGCAGGAATCATCTGGTCTGGATCGGCACTAAAATGGTAAAGAAGAGAGGAAAAAGAAGAGCTGCTTCTGAAATGTGCC